CCTCACACTTTCATGAACATTTAGGAAGAAGAATGAAGAAGAATGGTGAAGAAATGAGAAGGTTGGGTTTTCTTATATAATGAGAAGGAGAGAAGAAGAAGGTGACTCTGCGATCGGCGTAGTGGGGAAGGAGGCGCCGTCTAAACAGTTCCCTGATTGGGACCTATTTTGGTTCCAGTCGGGGTACACTTTTTGGTCCAACTTTCTCCAAATTGAAATCCGTTTGCACCATTGCGATCAGACAGTCGAGCTCTATCCAACGATATACTTTTCATAATTATTTGTAATACTTTTTCCGACATCATATTTTTGGGTGTTTGACTTTAACAGAGTCAAAATTGGTTTAATTGACCTTTCTCATAAAAGGTTCTCTCATTTAATTCATATCAATTATTCTCATGATTTATTTCAATAAATCATTACAAAGTTCACATCATAATTAATTAATTTATTTATTCTTGATTTGGGTCTGTACTCAGGTTCCCAATCAAGACCACACAAATAGTCCACATATTGGATTTATCTCGATTAGACTTATCTGGATTTTGATATTGGATATTAAAAAATATTTCATATCGGCCCAAAGCCCAATAATAATCAAAACAAATTTGTTTAATCGAATAATTATTTAATAATAATTCTAGGGTATGTTTCGGGGCGTTACAGAAAAGAACTCAAAAAAATATAAAAAAAATATTCAGAGTAGAATAATTTGGAAAAAATTGGAAGAAATTGGAAAAAAATAATAAGTTTTGAGATATTATTTCTATTTTATCAAGTTCATTATTTATTTAAATAATGTTTGCTCTACTTTTTTTTTTCTCATTTTATTTCTTCTATCATTATATTTTATTTCAGATCACACTAGTAAATTTTGTATTCCTATTTTTTTTACTCTTAATAATTAACATGAATGATATAATTTTTAGTTTCTATGTCACTAATTCATGTAACAAAAATAAGGAGACAAATGAATCAATACTTTTTATTAATTTTAGTTAAAAGAAAAATTAGGTTGAAATAATATAACGATGTTTCGGCCAAACCAAATTTCCTACTTTTTTATAGTTAGGAAAAATTTACTCCCTTCATACCAAAATGATACGGAGTATTCTCTATTTCAGCAACATGCAAAATTCTATGATTTTTTTTAAAAAAAATTTATTTATAAATTGATATAAAAATAAAATTTACATTTTAGAAACAATATGAGAAGTAATACTCCGTACAAAATAAAGATTACGAAAATATTTTATTTTAGCAAATAATCCATGAAAATGTGCAAACAAACAAAAGTTTTTAATAAATTGTAACAGTACATAGTATACCATTTTGGATAGAGGAAGTAAAATAGAGTTTAACGTCAAAGTTTTAAAACATTAATTATACTCGGGGTAATACATTTGAAAGAAACATAATTAAAGAAAATCTCATAATCACAAAGAGAATTATAATAAATTAATTAATTTAAGAGGATGATGATGAGATGCTCAGTAAGATCAAAGAGTAAAACTAGCAAGTCCTATTTTAGGAAATAATTTATGTTTTTCAACTATAAACAGAAAGTTTACATATGATTTCCCATTTGGTTTCCATAATTCTTTTTAGCGTAGAAAAAAAAAAGATGGATAAGATTAGATTAAAATATGCCAAATCAGATTAGGATAAAATCACATTAGATCAATCCAAGCAACAAAATCTTTGTATATTAACCCACAGTTGTTTCCCTCTTTGGAATCCGGAATTTCTCTCTTCGCGCCATTGCAGGGGTAGCAGAATCATCTTCAATCGTCGTCCTCGGTACGCGTTTCTCAACTGATTCTCTGAGTTCTTTGCTTGTTTGAATCAATATTTCTTACCCGAATCAGATTTATAAGTTTTAATTCTTTTCCAATTGGGTCTTTTACTTCGATATGGGTATTGTTTTTTTTCTGCGGAAAGGTTCAATCTTTGTTGTTTGCCTGAATGGAGGGTTCTTAGTTACATGTATGAGATTGAGTTCTAATCCTCTTCCAGTTGAGTCTTTTACTTCAATGGGTATTGCTTTTTTTGCTGAAAATTTTAATCTTTTTGTTTGCTGAGAAGTCTTGTACAATGCAAGAGTCCTAAAATCTGACCTACAAAAGGTGAGGCCTAGAAAAATCATATCCAAGGGCTTTGTTTTAGGGCAGTAGTGCTCTTGGAAATAGTCTCTCTATTTTTGAGAGGGGTAAGGTTGGCATCTTCATCTGATCAGATTGGAATAAGATTTGATATGATATCTGATTCTAATAAGTATAAGTAACAGCTAATAATAATAAGCTCTTAGTTTGTTTGTTGTTTTTTTGTAGTAGATGAGCTTGTATTATATTCTTGTGTTAATGCCTATGGGAGTTCATAATTAAAGAACTAATTTCAAATTGGTTTGCTTATAATAGGGATAATGCTGTGGCACATTGGTGATATGGAAACAGGAGGGCAAGTACACAAAAGTTTATGCATGCATAAGGCCAGTGTAAGATTGTGCACAACTTCACTTATAAGATAAAGAAGTAATTTTGATGCGTTAAAATGGACCAACGCGTCTAGAGGCCTAAAACATACTCCCTCTATCTCAAATTGATTGTAACAATTAATTTTCTTTATTTTTGAACCATTAATGAATTTAAAAAAAACTTTAGACAAACATTGTAAACTGCAATATCAAGTTCCTAGTTTAATGCAATGTCAATAGTTTTTGCCCAAGGGTCTGTTTTTGAAAAAAAAAATCTTATGTACGCTAACATTTGATCATCTTTTATATTTATCTCAGGATATGCACTCCACAGTTGGGGGCCACATCAGTCAACTTCCTGATGATATTCTTGAAATTAAGACTTAGGGAAGCCATAAGAGCAGGTCCGGTATCATCCAGATGGAGGCATCTTGTTTTGTCCCGGCCTCACCTTGTTTTCAATATGTCTAACATGTTCGAAACTGAGGAAGCCTCAATAAAGAAATGTGTTTGTTCAGAACACAAAGATTGATTCGCACAAGCTGTAAATCAATTCATAGCTTCTTATAGAGGCGCACGAATAATCAGCTTCTTTATTCGTTTCTGCCTGAAGAGTGATTCTGCTTCTGATGTCTCAAACTGGATTAGATTTGCTCTTGATTTAGGCGTGGAAGTGCTCGACGTGGAGGCATATTGTAGATATTTCGAACATAAATCTCCATTGTGTCTTGTTCCGGGTAGAGTTCCTATTGAGTTTTCCCCAAGTAAACAACCGGTTGTAAAGCATGTTAGGCTATCTTACTGTGATGCACCAGAAGCTTTTACTTGCACCCTATTCAGCCAGATGGAGACCCTCACACTTCATCACCTGTGTTTGGATTCTCATGATGTGGAGAGTACGCTCTCAGGCTTAGTAAATCTCAAGAGTTTGGAGATCAAAAGATGCAAACTGCCATCCTACTTAAGCCTCAGCTTGCTCACCCGTCTAGAGGAACTCGTGGTTTGGCTTTGCTTTGGATTGGAAAGAGTTAATTTGGCAAACCCAATGCTCGTCGAGTTGGGCATTGTCTGCAAGAGGACTGTTTCATTGTCGCTAACTGGTGTCCCTAACTTGAAGGTGTTCTGTCACGCTGTCCACGACGCTGGCCTACGCCGCATTTTCTCAAAGCTCCCAGAGGTTCTTCCTGGATTGATAACTTTGGCTGTGCACGCTCGTTCCAACTGGGTTAGGCATATTTTTTAAAGCTAATGTTGGCTGTCAAATGCCTCTTTTTTTTTTTTTTGTTTTCCTGGTGCACTATATTTTTTGCTTCTTTTGCAGACTGAGTATATGCCAGAAAATATAGCTACATTCTCAAGGCTTAGGACATTGATTATTGGGTTGGATCACAAAGCGGGAGATATCATGTAGCATAAGATAGTTCAACTTCTGAAATCGTGCCCTCTACTCCGTAATCTTTACATTGTGGTGAGTGATTTTATTTCAGCTATAGTTACATCGTGCCCTCTATCCCACTCTGCGTTTAGGCGGTTTAGCCATGGTTAAATTATTCGCATGCAGCTGAGCGCCCGAGAGGATGAGGAACTCGGGAAGATAGAGTCCGTTGACGAATACCATCACGAACATCTAGAGTGGATCAAAGTTCATGGATTTGTAGGAACCAAATACCAGATCGAGTCTTGCGCAAGTATTTGCTCAAACTCGCTCCTCACACCGAGGGGATGATATTAACGTTTCATCAACAAGTTCTGATGTAACGGAAGCGGGGTGCAGGACTCATCCCATGAGCGGAGAAGAATGTGAAAGCGTACTCAGTGCACTCGAAGCATTTTCAGACAATGTGAAGGTCTTTGTGGCTTGTTGAAATAAATCGTGCCGGTTTGATTCTGAAGTGATTCATAATTTCCTCGATCACATTTCCCTCTCCGCGTGGATATTTTTTTAGTTGGTCCCATGAATGAGGGGAAAAAAAGTTACCTCTTGTTCAGTGAATTTTTTTTAAAAAAAAAATATGCGTGGGAAATTTGAAAAATCACAAAAACTCACCGGTGGAGGGAGGCAAAGAAAATTACTCGCTCACTAAATTTACTTTTTACATTCTCCAATTTTACATTTTGACTTACTCGGTACAGTTTTATTTATGCATTTGTATAAAGGAATATTATGCTAATAGGAGTATACTAATATTTTCAATACTTCACTTAATAACATAATAATCCCTCCGTCCTGCTTTGATCGGACACATTATGTCCTAAATACATTATACACTAATATTTTATACTAGTGTGATGATTTATACTAATATAAAATATCAGTGTAATTTCTTATATTGAACTAGCATTTTATGCCAGTGTAAATCGTCGTGCATCCTTTTATGTTACAACTTGTGGTATTCTTTTTGGTGTACCCATGATTGAAAAAAAAATTTACATCCTTTGTAGTACTCGGCCTCGTACACGAAGAAGTCTTTTTACATATATGGTTAAAGATATTCCTTCCGTACCTGAGTATTTATCAATTTGACTTTTTTCAGTTAAAATTAATAAACTTTGATCTCAAATTAAACAAAATTGATATTAGATATTAGTACAAAAATGGTTTTATTAGATTTATTATATCAAATATTTTCAAAGTATTATTTTATTTAATTAATATACAATATACATTTTATTTAATTATAAAACAAAAGTTAAAAATAATTCATTGAAAAAATTCAATATTAAAGAAATACTAAGTAAGAGAGATGATAATACATCTTTTTTCATCAATAATAATATAGCAATCACATCATAATTTTGTTAATCAGACCAAAAACAAAATTGATGGTCAAATTAGAAAGTACTTTTCCAAAGAGAGGGAGTAAAATAAATAAAATGTGAGTAGCATACTATGACCGAAACCAGAATTTTTAAAAGTCTTAAACGAGTGCTAATTTAACACACCGAGCAAACTAATTAAAGTAATTAATTAAGAAGTCGAAGACGGAACGATGATCCAACGTTGGTTGTCCCCACCGTTCCATTCCCAAATTCCGACCACCGTCCCGTCTTGTACGCCGCCGAACTCTTCTATCGCCTTCAATGCGTCCATGCACACAGCAAAGTGTTGTTCTGCACGCGAATGGCTTTGTACCCGTCATCCCCCGCCACGTCCGCCGCCGTCCACAGCAGCGATCCATCGAGAACAGCCCCTTCTCCGTCGTCGTCGTAGGGAACCAGTTTCACCGGCGTCCGGGGGCCGTGCTTGATCGCCTGGCCAGTGGCCTTGTTGACAAGGGCGAAGCTGGGGAAGCCGTCCTTGTCCGTGACGAGGGCGCTGCGCCGGTCTTCCTTGACCCAGTGCTGCCGGGGGTCGGCCGGGTCGTTGGGGGCGAGGAAGACCGCGCCGTCCGCCGTCAGGGAGAAGCCCGCGTCTGCCTTGCAGTAGACGCGGTAGGTTTGCTTGTTATCGGCCGACGTGGTGTCGTCTTCGCCGAGGCGGCGGGGTTGCTGCGTCCGTAGTAGTGATAATGGTGGTGGTGGTGGTTGTTGTTGGCGTTGCCGGCAGCGCGACCAGACTGAGTATGGGTCAAAGGAGTCGTCATCGGAATGATGGGGGATTATTGCCATTATTATTATTATTATTATTATTATTATTATTATTATTAGAAGAGGACTAAAAAATAATGACTTTCCCAATATAGGACCATATGTTTTTATTTCCCAATGTAGGATTTTTGGTTATTATCAAGTAGTCATTATTCAAATAAATGTCCATCATTACTAGACATTATTCCTTCCACTAGGTCATTATTAGGTCCTATCTAGAGAATAAAAAAATTTAAGTCCTACATTAGGAAAGTTGTTATATTTTAGTCCAATTTGCATATTTTTTTGGTAAAATTTACTATCCATTCCTTAATATTGTCCTCGTAGCATTCCAATTCCGCTTCAGAATCAAATTCACTGGACTCCGTATATTCAAAAATACCATCTTTGTGAGATTATCACCTAATAAGTCTAATTCTCCTTTTTCAACGTAGTAATGTTCATATTCAAATGTCAAATATTTTAATTTTGAGTATAAAATGAAAACTCTATTCATATTCAATTTCAATTCATTTTAGTTTAATGGTTCGCGAGACAGATGTTTAATGAAATTGCGGTATTTTTTGGGGCAATAATTCTAGAAAATAAAGAGATTTTATTCGGATGAAATAAACTTTAATTTTAAGGAGTTCAAACGATGAAAAAAAGAGCGTGCAAATTTCACTTATTATTATTGTGATTGGGATGAGGTTGGATTTATTTGAGTGGACAGAGGATGGCAAAATTATTTTGGGAGCTGCTTATTTATCCCAACAATTCAAGAACATTTTTATGGGATGGCAAAAGTGCAAAACAAGCAAACGAAACGAAACAACGTACGGAGTACGTAATAAGTGATAATTAAAATTTAATCAATTCAAGAAGATGAATGGGGAAGGAGGATCCAACGTTGGTTGTCCCCTTCGTTCCACTCCCACATTCCGACCACCGTCCCCTCCCGCACGCCGCCGAGCTTCTTTGTCCCCTTCAGGGCGTCCATGCACAGCGAAGTGTTGTTTTGTGCGCAGATGGCCTTGCACCCGTCGTCCCCCGCCGTCCACAGCAGCGATCCGTCGAGAACAGCCCCTTCTCCGTCCTCGTCGTCGTAGGGTACCAGCTTCACCGGCTTCCGGGCGGCGTCCGGATGCTTGATTGCCTGCCGGGTGGCCTTGTTGACCAGGACGAAGCTGGGGAACCCGTCCTTGTCCCTGACGAGCGCGCTGCGCCGGTCTTCTTTGACCCAGCGCTGCCGCGGGTCTGACGGGTCGTTGGGGGCGAGGAAGACCGCGCCATCCGCCGTCAGGGAGAAGCCCGCATCTGCCTTGCAGTAGACGCGGTAAGTTTGCTTCGTATCGGACGGCGTAGTGTCGTCCTCGCTGAGGCAGCAGGGATTGTTGCGTTCGTAGTGGTGGTAGTGATGGTGATCTTGGTGGGAAAAGTGGTGGTGGTGGTGGTGAAGGATATTGTCGTTGTTGCCGGCGGCGGCGACCACGCCTGAGATTTGCCGAAAGGCGTCGTCGGAGTGAGGGATAATCGCCATTATGGTTGAGTCGAAGTTGGGAAGAGGAGTGGTGTATATATATGTGTGTGTGTGTGTATAAGTGCTTCGATCACTTGCAATCAAAGTTACGTATGCATTTCAAAGGAAGAGGGAGGGTCACTACAATAAAGTGAAATTACCAGCTAGCTGGGCCACTTCATATTCCCAATAGAGTTACTCGTAATTACTTCCTTCCTCGTGAACTATTTGTCTGCTTCTAATAGCATTCACAATGGCCAGACAAAAATGAAATGTCACACGGTGACATGGATTATTTCAATTAATAAAAAGTAACCCAGTCATCAATAAAATAAACAAACTTTTTGTCTATTTTTGCACTTTTTAATGATTTTTAATTATAAAAAATTATTTTAAAAATCTATTTTATTATTAAAATATGTCTACTTCTTTTAAAAAATATTTTTTTCAAAAATTACAAATATTAAAAATATTAAAAAAATAAAAAATAAGAGAGTCATGCCTTGCACATGGAATGAAAAGTGTGGTGGAATGGCTATGGAATGCCATGATTTGAGTGGAATTTGGTGACATGGCATGACAAGGAAAGGCATTGGCTTGCCATTGTGAATGCTCAAACATGTTAAAATTATACTCGCCACCATAGATCTTTCCAGACACTATTTACAGTGTCAAACTTAATTTACTTTATTTGTTTATTTTTACTACTCATTTCATAAAACAATATAGTGTTGTCACCTCTAGTTTTGTAGAACTTTTCATGTAATTTATTACTACATAGATTTTATGTTAAAATTTTACCCCTATATTCAAATAAATTGAATTGAAAATAAAGTCGGTCAAGCCTCGATCGTAATGCGCAATGGGAAGATCTAAGGTGGACGAAGGGAGTATCAAATACTACCTCCGTCCCAGTGTATTTATCTATTTTGACTTTTTCAAGTCAAACAAGACAAACTTTGAACTCCAATTACTCTCAATTTATATTGCATATTAGCATAATGAAATACAATTTTGAAAGTTCTCAATACGATAAATTCAATAAAGTCATTTTTACGTTAAAATACATTACGGTTTTTATTTAATTGAAGCTCAAAGTTTATCGAGTTTGACTCGAAAAAATCAAACTGGACAAATACACTGGGACGGAGGGAGTATTTTCAAATTCTCCTTCCATCCCATAAAGATAAGGACGGTTTGAAGAAAGTGGTAAAATAAAGAGGAATAAATTTGTGTTGATTTTCCAAAAATATTCTTGATGTGATCGGTAAAAGTAGGATGTGATGTGTAGATTGTTAGAAAAAAGGTATGATGTGATATGTAGGATATGAAAAGCTAAGTAAAAGGATAAAGGTGATTCTTTAATAGAAATGAAAATTGCTTTAAGGGACGCAAATTTTTTGAAAAGAGAATGACTTTATGGGACGGAAGGAGTATTATTTTATCTAATTAAAATATAATACAAGAGTATATATTTTTTTTAATTATAGTTCAAACTTCAAAGATTAAAAATGATCAAAGCTAGATAAATACTCGAGTAGCTAGAGAGGTTGTAAGTTACAAATTATAAGATGGAGAATTTACCTAAATAATATTAAAAGTTTAAAACATAATAACTTTCACAATGCGATACCATATGTTTCTATATTTCTCAATATAGTAAATATTTTTTCAATATACCATTACCATATTTCTTAAGTAAATTTTCGTCGCCATTGAACATTATTGTCTAAATTAAATATTAATCATCACTGGACATTATTTGTGTGACTAGATATTATTAAGTAGTATGTACTGTTTAAGAAATCCAACTTTACCCCAATGTGAAACACTACTCCGTATATATCACATTATATTTCTCAAATGTAGGGAACTATACTCCAACGTTGGTTGTCACCGCCGTTCCATTCCCAAACTCCGACGACCGTGCCGTCACGGATGCCGCCGGACTCTTTAACGCCGCCGAGCGCATCCATGTTCAGCCGGACGTTATTCTGCATCCTAATAGCTTTAAACTCGTCTCCATCCTCCCCCGCCACAGTCCAAAGGACGGACCCATCCAGCTGAACTCCGTCGCGGTCGTGCGGCACGAGCTCCACCGGCCTGCCCGCTCCGTCTGGGTGCCCGACAGCTTTCCCGGTGGCCTTATTGACCAGCGAGAAGCTGGGGAAGCCGTGCTCGTCCATGACTCGGGCGCTAAGCTTGTCTTCCCTGAACCAGTGCTGGCATTCGTCGGACCGGTCAACGGGTGCAAGAATGACGGCGCCGCCTCGGGTGCTGAGCGCGTACCCGGGCCCCGCCTTGCAGTGCACGGCGTAAGTCGTTGGTTTGCCGAGGCGGGGCTCCTCTCTATGGGAGTGGTTGTGGAAATAGTGATGGTGGTGTTGGGGACCAAAGTGGTGGTGGTGGTGGTAGTGATTATGATGATTTTGGTTTTCTATATCTTTATTCTCCTGGTTGTGGTTGTTTTCATCTCTATCTGATATTGATATATATGTTGTCATTTTATTCATTTGACTTTTTATAGTTGAATTTTTTATTAGACAATAGACTATAATGAAGAATGGAGGAATATATAGTGTCCCCCAATTAAAGAACAAAGGAAAGTTGTTGAAGTTAGGCAAAGTAAAGAACAAGGAAGCAAATGATGTACGTAGGGCATAACTGAAAGAGAGAAAAGATTTTGGTTCAGAAAATTTGAAGAAAAAAAAAAGAAAAAGAAAGAGAAAATTATTTTTTTTCTCATTTTGCTCACCAAAATGAGAGAAATTTGATTTTTCTTTCACTCAGTACATTTGACTTATCATTTTCCTTACTTTCTATTTTTCATTTCTAACCAAACAAAAAAACTGTTTTCAATTTCATTTTCTTTTCTTTTTCTCCTTCAAATTTTTTGAAACAAATTAGAAAGTTAGTTGTCTAGTTGGCCTGTTGACTACTTTGCTCGAGCTTTTGCTATACATTGATTGAAATTTATTAAATTAAATTTATGACAATTTGTTTAAAATTTAAAAATAAATTATATCAAATGTTCTGTACCACTAGATGTGATATGACTATTTTATTTTGTTAAATTATATGAAATAAACAAAAATATGTGATGAAAGAAGATAGAACTTGATACTCCCTCTCTCCGAAAATGTTATTCACGTTTGACTTTTCTTGGTCAAATGTTAATAAACTTTGAATCCAATTTGTAGAAAAAATATATATTGTATTATGATATAAATTTAATATTCTTAATGAAATGCAGTTTTGAAATATCAATTTTTTATAAAATATATCTATATATGAATATAGTGTTGGAAATTTTAAAGTAAATTGGACATTTTCGGACATAAATTCGGTTGGGTCCACAAAATTATTTTTCCAAAATAATTATGGACGATTAATCTCATAAGTAAGACGAACGTCTTGACATATTACACGCCATAAACGGTGCTCGAGTGAATGAGAAATTAATTCTCAAAGTTGAATACTAAGGTAGAGTAAATGCCTTTGTCCCACACCGGTTTCTAAACCTTTCGTATTCTCATATTTAAGCTTAGGCATTGAATTGAGCCTATGAAAGGAACAAGAAGAGAACTCCTCGCGCGCCCGCCGCCGCCGCCGTCCGTCCCGTCACGACACGCGCGGGGCGGGGCGGGGCGGGGCGGGGCGGGGCGGGGCGGGGCCGCGTCTGCGGCGGGGCGTGGCTAATTTTTTACGAGACCGAGTTAAACACGCGTGGACACTTCGTAAATTACGAAGTGCCGTCCAAAGGATTAAAGCATGCATGCATTACGGACGAAGAGTCACTCGACTCTTCGTAATGTCCGACGGTCCTACGAAGAGCCAACTTCCTCTCCTTTAAAAGGGGGGGTTGGCCACAGAGATTGGAGACGAAGAACACACTCGAAAATCTCTCTCTCTATCTTAGCGTTATAAATTTCTGGCAACATCCCATCTCCGATAGTTTTCTTCGGCGGTAACCTCCATCATTCTCGTTCGTCGGTGCACGGTTCTACCGCTCTAGGCCTTGCACGAAGCGGTTTTATCCTGGAGGAGATTGCCCACATTTTCCAGTGCGAGAGGCGGGCAATACTACCTTAAGGAAAGCTCCGGCGACTCCGCTTTCCTTACCCTTCTTTTGCTCCGGCGTCGTTCCTCTCTCTGTCCGTTCGTCTTCTTGCGTTCGTTCAAACATCCGAAGACTCCAAGTTTTATTTTTCTTTTATTTTGTTGTAAAATCCGAACGTTTTATAAGTTCGGATTATTATTTTTTTTCCTTTTAATTTCCCGCTGTAATAGTCATCATATAGATATCAATGGTCAAAATATAACATTAAAAACCGTAAGAAGTCAAACAGAAAAAAGATTTCGGGAGTAATATAAATAAGCACATACTCCGGGTAATTTTCAAAGTCCCGAAGAAGATTTGGGACAAGTGGACAACACATTCAAGTCTCATCGGGCCTCGTATAGAGATGGCCCATTATAGGACGAGTCCAATAGATTTAGAAAGGGCTATAGGAAGAGTCCAATATATTAAGTTAGACCCAGTCCCATTATAGGACAAGTCCAATGCAGCTCTAATCTTAAACACCTTACTTCATCGAATAATCTTTGCCTAATTTGACCCACTTTTATAATAAACTGAGAATTGTGTTAATGTTTTCGGCATACTAAAAAAATATTATCTTTTTTTAAGGAAAAGAAAATTTAATTAATTAATTGAGGGAGTACAAAGTCTGGAGGGACATTATCGCAAATGCCATAATGCGACACTGCATGGCTAGCTAATGTATGAGCAACACCATTCAAATCATGCCTCACTTTAGAAATTGAAATAAAACAAAAAAAAGAAAGTAAAGGAATATTATCTTCTATAACCAAACCAAAATAAGAGCGAGATGCAATTGTATTATCAATAGCATCCACCACCACTGAGTTGTCTGAAAAGAGACACACATCAATATAGCCTAACAGAAATATTATTTGATAGAGTTGTTTATAAATTACTTTTTAGTTACAACTCATTTGATTTGATAATGAGATATTTTTTGTTACGTATAAGCTGATTTATAAGTTGTTTACTCCATCCATCCTAAAATTAACTTCTCATTTGACTTTTCACGGTCTCCAATGAGACACTTTGACCATTAATATCTCAATTTTTATATAAATATATTTTATAAAAATTATATATTTCAAAACTATGTTTCAAAATTAATCTATTCCTAATAAATTTATATGAAAATTCAATGTATTCTTTCCATAATATACTGTCAAAGTTTAAAAAGTTTAACTACAAAAGTCAAACTGGGAAGTTAATTTTATGACGGAGGGAGTAAAAGTTAAAAAAATAATCAAGTTTCACCTATTGAATAATTATAATATTAGAAAGCATAAGGATACAAAGTTATCTGCAAAACTATCCCTAATCTTTTAGATATTAGTCATTACTCAAGTAAATATCCACCATCACTCGACATTAATTCTTTTATTAGATATTATTAAGTCCTATTTAGAAAATAAAAAAGTTTAAGTTTCACATTGAGAATTAATTTATGTTTTAATCATATTTAATGCAAATTTCACATAAAATAATCAGATCCATTCATGGGGAGGGATGGCATGTAAACATTTGCTACGCGCGAAGGATTATATTTCTTCTCGCGCTGGACTCCGTTGATCGCTTCCAATTGCAACCCAAATTTTTCTTCATTTTTGGTGTCAATTTTTTTTATCAAAGTAAAAAAAAATGCGTACAAATAAAAAAAAGTACTAGTACTTGACAAAACAAAACATAAAATAATTTTGATGAAAATTACCTAAACTAAAAACATAAAATTAATATTTTTCTAATATTAAAATTAAACTTACATTAAAAAATAATTTTAGAAAACTGAATAATAAAAAAGGAAACTATAAATAAAATAAAAACTAAAATAAAATAATTCGGAGTAAGAAAAAAACAACCGAGTTAAAAAGAAGAAAAATCAAGAAGGAAAAGAAAGCTAAAAGAAAAATCTAATAAAGGGGAAATTAAAGAAGAAAAGAAGAAGAAAACACATGTAAGGAAAAAAAAGGGAAGGAGAGAAATGCAGAAAAGGAAAGAAAAACATGTTAACGAATAATTTTCCAGTATATGATGAATTTTATAGTTATATTTGTGCTTATGGTAGTATTAGTATATTAGTCAGCTGATTTATTAGAATAGTCTTAATTCATGTCAGTATCGCCATCTATATATATATATATATATATATATATATATATACGATCATGTACTCTCATTATTCCTTGAGTAAAAATTCATAATTGAATATTCAACAAGGTATCAAAGGCTCTACGCTCTTGGTGACCTGGTACTTTCCGTTTATGATGTCGCCGCCGCCGATGGTGGTTTATCATGCATGGCGGCCTCACTCTCACTTGTATGTGTAAACAGTAATATACCATGCACAAGTCCCGACCAAATATTATTTTGTTATTGTGATTGTGTCCAATTTTGTCACGAACTCGTGCTTAATTTTGCAAGAATGCCTGCAGGATCAAGCCCTAAGTCACACATGGTTTAATTTATTTTTTTATTTTTGAAAATTTGTAAAAAGTTTAACTAAAGAAAATTTATAATAGAAGTATAGAACGTCTCATAGACATAACTTTTCAAGGTCGAACCGGAGTTCAGACACTCTCACAAGACAGAAATCACAAGCAAGCCCAGTAGACTAAGGCAGAGCCCAGTAAAGGAAGATATGTCAAATACATTAAGGCTGGGCCCATCATATACGAAGAGCCCAATCCCTTATAGCTGGGCCTAGTATTGGAAGACGAACCAAATAGAATAAGGGAGCCGGACTTTGGTATACTATATAAGTTCGGGCCGATTCTATGACCACGTTCTTTGATTAATCGCAGAGCACATGGAACATTTACGGTGTTTCGTTCGTAAAATTAATAATTGATATTTTCCCTAACTCATCTTCCCGGTAGATTCCCTACTCAATGTCGACCAAAACTCATCATTCCACTCACGTCAATTGCACACCGCAAGTTTAGTTGACATTGAATTTACAAGTTTGACCCTAAAGCCAACTAAGCTCGCGGAGAACAATTAACGTGGGTGGAGGAATATGTTGGGGTCAAGACTTGATGGACAATTTATCGAAGAACATAATCAGTATGAACTACCAATTTTTCGAATGAAGCAGTATAAGTGTTTCAATTGAGACTTATTTGTGGCAACTCAAAAGAGAGTGACCACAGAATACAGAACTTAAGCTGACCATATAAACTTTAGTTATTATAGTTCTCCATCCGTCTCAAAATAATTGTTGTGAACATTAAACATTAGAGAATATAAAGTATATGATGTAATTAAACTCCATGGCATGGAATAATTAAATTCCAAGTCATAATTTATTGTTACACATCAAATATCATAATTAGAGGATATAAAGTAGGAAAATGCTTGATTCACAAACTTTACAGACTTACTATTTGTGAACTTCAATAAAAAAAATTAAATTGTATAAAATAGTTTAAAAATTTGAATTTAAACTATAAGTAGTAAGTTTGTGAAACTTGTGAATATTTTGTTTGTGAAACTAACATTGTTCTATAAAGTATCAACCTACGAGAGAACCCACACACAGGGGAGTATATTATCATAATAATTTGTTTAATTACTCCGTATTAAATAATAAAATTAAAAAATTGATACTAAGTGTAATCATTTTTTTATTGAAAGAAGTATTTAATGCTTTATAAGTAAATTTGATAGTAGGTGTGATTAGATTTTTATTTATTCGAATTTTGAATCATTGAAATGTCATTTTAAACAAAAAATACTAGGGTGCCTAATTGTCATTATTGATTCCCCAAAACAAAAATGGTCATGATTTAAATTCCTCGATACGTTGAAGTGACTAATTAATTTGAAATAGAAAACGTTAACAAAATAAAACAAGATAGCTCTTAAATGTTTGAAGAAAAAAGAAAGAAGAATCCATAAACTATTTTCAACTTCCAAGTTGTGTATGTGTGGTATCCAATTTAGAATTGTAGCTGGTTAATAATAATTCTATAAAATAGTCAATGTAACATTAATATTTATTTGAATTACTTCTTCTGTCTCAAGATAATTTACGCTTCTACTTTTTGAATATGTCTCTCAATAATTTCAGTTATTCATATATTTTCTTGGATCATTTGATAAATGAAATATTCTTATCGTATCTTATTTTGTACAAATTTTTGTGTATATTTTAAACATACACGGAGTAATTTGTATGAAGTAGTTTTTATCTGTATACCGATTTGTAGATAAAATAATTTTAAAAGAATTGAGATTTTACACAATATTTAAAGAGTGTGGAAACAAATATTGCACCAATCACATTCAACTTTTAAGGAAATCACTCAAAATAGGAACAAAACATAGAGAAACTATCAAAATATGAGTTCCATGTTTTTATTCCTTAAATAGATATTCGCATTGTGGTGAATGTGGCATTATATATGTGCATATTACTATACTTTCTGGTAATGTACACAATCATGATTGGTAATGTAAATACATTTTAACTCATAATTCGAGAATAAAAATACGGAATTTCTATTTTGATATATTTTTAATATTTTACTCCTACCTACATGAGTTACATCTTTTTCACCAACTTTTATCCATCACAATAGCTAGGGATAATTTGGGAAAGTACACACAAAACATCAAATTTAACATAACTTTAGACAAATTATATTAAAAATAAGAAAGTGAATAATTAATTTTAAATAAAGAAAGTGCTCCGTAGTTTGTGTTGCACTCCTGAAAAAACACCTACCATATGTGTGTATTAAAATAAATACTTACTCCCTCCGTTCCTTTAAACACTTCCTATGAAAAATATGATGTGATAGGTACGGTATGAAAACGTATGGATAAAAGTGATTTTTTAATAGAAAATGAAAGTGTTTTAGGTAGTGTTTGGCAACTAGCATTTCATTTCAATTCATGCATTTCAATTCCAAAATTTGAAATCCTGAATTTCAAATGACAAGGGGAGGTGCATGGATTTCAAATTAAGCTTGGTTTTGAATGTAAAGAATTTGATTCAAATCTAAAATCAAAATGCTTAAGTTTCCCAAACATGGAATTTAAGCCAAATCCGGATTTGAAATCCAAATCCATGTTTCCAAACATAACATTAGGGAATTGGAAAAAAATGAAAGGGAAAAGGTTTTATGGAACAGAGGGGGAAGAGTAGAAGTTATGAGTAATATAAAAATAATAAGAATCACAAAAAGAGTGCCCAAAAAAAACGAAAACAAAAATTAAAAAATAAAAAGAGTGTGAATGGAAAAACTCAAAGTCCATTTGACGTGGAAAGTGGATGGACTTTGTTTTGACCTTTTGGAGTGAATTATTAGGAGGCAACTTGCGTGACGACGACCCAATCAAGAACACCTCGACTCCTCAACCAACTCTTTCCCCACCTCATTTTGATTTGCTTTTTCATCCAAAAAAAAACTTCACTTATTATTATATTTCAGATCATATTCTCTGGTAGAGTTTGTACCACATTGAAAGATGAATAGAAAAGTTATCGGTATATAAAGTCTTCAGTTGAATTAAGTAATCGATTGAATTCAATCTTTTAATGTGGTTTAGCCCAAGTATCTTATAGCTCAATCCAATGATCCAATTGTTCATACTCATCCTAAATTCTATCATGGTATCAAAGCAGGTTTTGGCCCACCTCGTTTGTCAAGGTGTCCGTCTAGACGTTCATTCCTAGCGGCTCGTTTGTCTTTAGCCCAGTGTTCCGCATGGAGTATGTACCCAACGACATGTGGCCCGTTTAACACGATTGCTCGTCTGGAAGTCCATACCTAGCGGCTCGTGGTCCTTTAGGTGTTGGCTCTAAAAAAAGTCAAGGGATTGGGAGTTCATTTGCAAGTGGTCAACCGATTAGATTCAAAATGGCTTGGTTGTCCACTTGAGAGAGAGTATTAGAGTTTATCCCATATCGGAAGTTGAGTAGAAAAGTTATCGGTATATAAGGTCTTTAGTTGAACTAAGTAATCGATTGGATTCAATCTTTTAATGTGGTTTAGTCCAAGTATCTTATAGCTCAATCCAATGATCCAGTTGTTCATACCTCATCCTAAATTCTATCATTCTCCGTCCAAAAATAATCTTCTCGTTACACGTTATGATGTTCTATTGAGTTTATTTTTGAATCAATTTATATAAAAAAACATTAAATTAAGAAAAAAAATTACAGTTTAAAGACTACATCAAAAGATCTACAAAACTAGAGCTGACATACTATATTATTTTATCAAATGAATATCGAAAATAGACCAACAAAGTGAACAAAATTTGACCCTGTGATAGTGAATGAGAATATTAATTTTGAACGGATCGAGAGAGTATAAATTGTTTGAAATAATAAATATTGGTACGCGTTAAATGCATGGGTATCATATACATACGCATTGAATAATACTCCCTTCATCCCTGAAAATCTTTCTTTTCTTTATCTGTCTCAAATTTTTTTTATTTATGTAAAAAAGTCACTTTTACCCATACTTTTCTCTAATGTACCTATCACTTTATATCTATTCACTATTAATCTACTCATCAAATCTATATCCAACTGCATTTTTAAAACTCAACATCAAAATACAATCCTCTTAAATCCTTGAAATATCAAAACCTCTCATATTTTTAGGGACAGAAAAGATGTATCATAAAATTGGTTGATATACATATGATCTCTATAAAAATAATCCTTACAAGCTAGCTTGGTTAGGGGGTCGCATTCTAGGTATACAAAAGCATAGATTTGCATCGTCACTTTTATATTCCCTTAGTTATTCAATTCCGTGTATTAGGTCACAATTTTGGTAAATTCACATAATCAATATAATATGGATAAGATTAATTATATTTGTCCTAATATGAAATAATGAAATCAGATGCCTAAATACATTTTAAGTTACAAGTAGCATAATCTAGCTAATTCCAAAATATAATATAATATAATAATTAATCCACCCATATTATATTGGAGTTAATTAAATGAGTCCAATAATTGAAGTACTAGTCGTACAAGATAGAGATTAGTGTTAAGCAAGTTGGGAGATGGATGTGAGTTTGTGACAAACCTATATATCTTAGCTAGGAACTACCTTAGCGTGTAGGACATTCGTGTCCACGTATTTGAGAGTCGCCATTAATATAATTAATTTACTCATTTCAAAATTAATGTTTGCTTTGATGATAATGCGAAAAATCAAAGAAATTAAATTAAATACGGCCAGGTTCCATGGCCACTGGAATCCAGTGGCCATGGAACCGGGCCGAATTAAATAATCCCTCCGTTCCTTTAAACATGGATGTTTTAATCTTGAAAAGATTTAAGGAGAGTGTAGATTTTTGTATTTAATTTCCAAAAATGTCTTTTGATGTGATAGATAAAAGTAAGATTTGATGGGTAGATTATTAGTAAAAAAGTATGATGTGATAGGTATGATATAAATAAGTAATGAGTAAAAGTGATTTTTTAATATAAATAAGAAGTATTTTTTTGGACGGATGAAAAAAGAAAGAAGAAAGGTTTTCAGAAACGGGGGAGTATATACCTTAGACTTAAAATATATTCAGAAAAAAACTACTTCGTAACATACATGAATGCCACTTTCTTGATATAAACAAATCGCTAGTATTTTTCAAAATAATTTTCATAATTTTATAACAGAGGGGTTTCCATATTTAGTTATCTATTATCAAATATTACCCCGTACTCCTTTTTTTAAGGGTGCATTTCCACAAATGATTTTTTTTTATCTTCTATCATGTTGGTGTTAATTTAAAAGCTAAAAGTATAATTTGACATCAAAATTATGTCTAGTGACGTGTTCTGATATTGGTTAAATCGATAACACGAAAATATTGACTATGATTGTGGGCTATGATTCCGACGAAAGATCACATTTGTAGACTATGTTTGTAGTAGAAAGCGACTGTAATTTACAAATGACACAAACAAAACAGCCTTTAGGATTGTGTATGATAAAAAAACATATTATCATTGTGAAATTACGGAGTACATTTTTAGCTCTCAAATTACCACCATCATGATAAAAGATAAAAAGAGACTATTTGCGGAAAGATACCCATAAAAGACTGATCACTTGGATAATATTTGATAATAGAGGATTAAATAGAAAAACCTCATGTTATAAAGGACTAATTATAGAATTTACTCTATTTTTATCGTCGAGATCAAAATTTTTGTGTCATATCATATGCTTCCATAAGAGATTGTTAATATACACTTTCTTCTTCCCAAAAAGTCATTTACGTTTCAAAATAATGGTGTCCCACAATCTCATTCTCATTTCTATTAAAAAACTGTTTTTATTTCTTAATTTAAATACCTTACCTATCACATCATATCCTATTTTTATCAATCTCATTAGTGGTATTTTTGGAAAATAAACACAAAAGTTTCCCCCCTTTGTTTTGTTACTTTAGTCAAATGTCCCTCTCTTTATGGGACGGATGGAGTATATTTAGTCATATTTTCATTTTTGTGTTATTTTATTTTTTAACATCAAAATATCAATCACGTAATTACTTTCTAAATTTATGTAGGTGTTAGTATTAGTAATTTGGAATGATGTGACCTCGATCATTATAATCATAAATAGATATTATTAATAATTCAAATAAGTACTACTCCGTATTATGGTTATTCTCATAATTATCATTATTATTACTATTACGATTACTAAATTACTAATATCCTCCGATTCTATCATTCCGAATTACCCCATGTCCCATAATTTTTTCCTTCTATACATTTTTCATGATTATATTTCCAATGCATCACTTTAACAATTAATATCTCTATGCGCGCACACACACACATATTACAAAAATAGTTTTTTTTTGCATTATTTAACACTGGATTAATATTCATAAAGTGCATATTTTTCATCTGAATTGAACTTTCAAAAATGTATCATTAATCCTTATATGTTTACTAAAGTACATGTTTTACCCCAAACTCTTTAAAAAGTGATTATGTTCCCATTAATTTTCAAAAATGCACCATTAGTTCCTACTCCCTCCGTCCCAAAAAGTCTTTCCTGTTTCATTTTTTGCGCATCCTATAAAACACTTCTACCGACATCTAAAATGCCTAAAATTTACAACATTTCTTCTTTATTATGGGTAAAACTTATATTGAAAGTTTTTTTGGCATTCAAGGCGGGATAGAAGTGTTTTATGAGATGCGCAAAAAATGAAACAGGAAAGACTTTTTGGGACGGAGGGAGTATATTTTTTTTGTAAAGTGTCACCTTTTCACCCGAACTTTCAAAAGTGTATATATAATTAGTCTTATACTCGTTTCAAAAGGTGCATGGTGGAATACCTAAAAATTTCTTTTGATTTAACAACTTCATTAACCAAGCTCAAATAAAAAGAAAAAAAATAGGACTAATAATGCACTTTTAAAAGTTTGAGGGAGAAAGTAAAACATGCAATTTATAAAATGTATTGAGACTAAGGTGCACTTTTGAAAATTCAGAAAAAAAACATGTTTTATAAGAGTTTGGTGGGAGTATAATGTACCTACTTTATACTCCCTCCGTCCCAAAAAGATTTACACCTTTCAAAAAATTTGTGTCCCACAATCTCCTACCCATTTCTATTAAAAAACCACTTTTACCCCTTGCTTTTTCAAACCCTACTTTTACACATTAAATCAAGGTTATTTTTGGAAAGTTAATACAAAATTATCTCTCCTTTAATTTCCACTTTAGTCAAAATGTATAAAACTTTCTGGGACGGAGGAAGTACACTCTTAACTCTTAGAAATTCAGAGAAAAGAAGAATTTACTTAAATAACATTAAAACATAATGACTTTTTCTAAATAATATTATATTTTTTATTTTCCAATGTAGCACTTTTAATCATTATACATTATTAGTCATTATTCAAGTAAATGTTCACCATCACTGAACATTATTCTCCTTCTAGACATTATTAAGTGATATTTAAAGAATAAAAGTATTTAAGTGCTACATCGATAAATGAATTTTGTTTTAGTGCTATTTAGTGCAAATATTTCTTTGGCATTTTCTAGAGACAAGCTTAATTTTAATATTTTTCTCAGATTATGAAAAGGCAAAAGATATTAAAAGCGTATATATCCATATCAAGGCCCACAGCTCCCCCTCAATTAATCCCGCATGAACAGTGAATCTTTATATATAAAGAGCCAGCACGCCATTTCCATGCATTCATTCCTTCTTCATACCATACCCACACGTACAAATATATATATATATACACAAATAATTTCCTCTTCAAAAATTACTCATTTTTAACTAATTATAATTTCATTTTCGTTAATCAGTTTAAATACCTTTCATCAATCATCACCAACTCCATGGCGGTTGTTGCTTTCATAATACTCTTGGCGGCGGCGGCGCCGGTCTCCGGCGACTTCAACGGCGAGATTGATATAACGTGGGGAGGAGGGCGAGGAAGGGTTTCGGAAAACGGGCAGCTTCTAACGCTGTCCCTCGACAAGGGTTCCGGCTCCGGTTTCCGGTCGAGGAATCAGTATATGTATGGGAAGTTTGATATGAAGATCAAACTCGTCCCCGGCAACTCCGCCGGCACCGTCACCACATTCTACGTAAGTTTTCTAAAATTAAATTTTGCTTATTCTTTATAATATTCCCACTGTTTTTGTGTATTTTTCTAATTTGACTTTTTCAAATCAAACAAGATGAACTTTGAGCTCAAATTACTGTTAAATCGTAATTTATTTTAGTATACACATGATTTAATTAGATTTATCTTATTAAGAATTTTAAATATGAAATTTTATTACACTAATATGCAATACAAATTGAAAATAATTAAAGTTTAAAGTTTGTTCGGTTTGATTCAAAAAGGTCAAACTTAATACCTTTATTTTATTTTTAATAAAAAGTTTGTAAGAGGGAGAAAATATACTCATGAAAAGTAATTGTTCAATTAAATATAATGGTTGACTTTGTTTTTCAACGAGCGTTACTAAAGGAAAATTGAAGTAAATTTAATTTAATTTGAAAAAGTACGTGACATCAAATACATGCTCAAAGAAAATCATGGACAAAGATTGCACCACAACAATCACCTACCTACGCTAATTATTTATTGTTTCTATTCGTATTCTAAATAATTGAACACGTTATTTACAAAATTTCTTCCAGCTCAAAATAAATTTAAGCTACCTATATTTAATTTTTCCACTAATAAAACTCCGTAAGGCCCAGTTTGATACGCGGAAATTATGAAATTAGAGTTGATGATTTCAATTTCAATTTTGGTGTTTGGTTGCACAAGAATTATGTAGATTTGGAATTGATAATACAAAAAATGATTTAGAATTGAATTCTATCAATTCCGTAAGTACAGAATTGACGTAATTAGAATTGAATTGAGACTTGAAATTCTATAAATTTGATTTGAATAAATTAAATTCTCCGATTTCAAATCATTTTGTACTACCAAACAGTAGATTGTTAGGATGGGTAATAAGAATCATCATATCAATTTTACGAACGGGATATCGTAGACCCCCAGGTGATATTATGACATTGTAGGACAATGTCATATGAACCGAGGTGATAAAAAATGATTCATAATCTTTTTCTTTGTTCTTATTAAATTTGTATCACCACTTACTTTGTGATAATTTCTTAAGTTTTGTAAAGCCAAATGTCAAAATTTATAATTAACAAGGCAGAAAATTAATATTGAACGTACAATTGGACAGTTTTAATTAATTTTTTTTTAAAAAATATAGTGTGAATGAGTGTGTTTTTGTTCTATATGCCTATTTTTCAACTGAGGAATTAAGGTTATAATAATTGGAATTTGGTGGCCAATAATTATTATCCAATTATATTGGTGTGCGCAGTTGTCTTCCCTAGGGTCAACACACGACGAGATTGACTTTGAGTTTCTGGGGAACGCAAGTGGGGACCCATATGTCCTACACACCAACGTCTATGCCCTAGGCAAGGGCGGCAAGGAACAACAGTTTTACCTATGGTTTGACCCCACGAAGGACTTCCACACCTACTCCGTTCTTTGGAACCCCTTAAGCATCATGTAAGTATGTATACACCAACTTGTACAAGTATATGCATTCTCTCCCCTCCCAAACAAAAATTTTGATCAAGAGATTAAGAAAAATGAGGGGGTTGCTAGGGTACGTTAGGTGCATACCACCCTACAGACACACATTGTTTGTATTTCACACAGATATTATGTATCTGTGTATGTCTGTGAAAAGAGTATTATACACTCGGGATACACTACCTGAGGTACCTCTAAACATGCAAAAAAGAAAATGTGGCCGGTTTTTTAATGGGACGAAAGGAGTTTGTACATCTCAAACATTGGTGATATTAATTTTGGTATTATCCGTGGTATGATTACATAACACGAAAATCAATGTAGAAATAATTAGGCTTAGGTTACTCACACGTGAACTCAAGCTTCAATTCTATGGGCATTAATCGATTGCTTTATAATAAATAATGATGACAGATTCTCAGTAGACGGGACACCGATAAGACAGTTCAAAAACTTGGAAGCAAACGGGGTCTCATATCCGAGAAACCAAGCAATGTGGGTATATGGGAGCCTATGGGATGCGGAAGAATGGGCAACGAGAGGCGGGCTAGTGAAGACGGATTGGAGCCAAGCCCCATTCGTCGCCTCCTACAGGAACTACACTGCCCAAGCTTGTGTTTGGAGCAGTTCTTCTCCTTCTTCTTCCTCTTCTTGTTCCAAGAATCCAGTGACGAACCCTTGGTTGGTTCAGTCGCTGGATAGCGCCGGACAAGAGAGGGTCAAGTGGGTGCAGAAGAATTACATGATTTACAACTATTGTACCGATGCCAAACGCTTCCCTCAGGGATTCCCGCCCGAATGCTCTCTAAACCCGTCTTGATCAATCTACTCATTTTGATTTACTCTTTATTTTATGTTTTTGTTTTTTCTTACGAGTAATTTACTATGTATGCTTTCATATATTCATATAAAAGGTGCATGTATATGGTGTGGATCATACCCTTTGTATAAATTTCATATCAACTATATATACCGCGCATTTTAAAATTTTTATCCTAGGTATAGTTGAGTTAATAAATTGGAATGATCTTCTTCATTAACTTGAATGGTTGGAAACTTACTCTCTAAAATTTATGAAGTTCTTTGGGGTTCAAGATCATTGAGAAAGATATGAACAAATACAATATGATAATCGAATCAATAACATTAAAAAAGGTCAAATTTGAAGAATTATATTCCATCAAAAAGTGTTCCAAAAAAATTATTCACTCCTTTCAAGCCACTCCACCCCATCACTAGTACATTCATGCAGGTGAAATAGGATTGTACAGTTCGAAAAGTGTTGGATTGATTAATCCTTTGGATCTTTTTTTATAGTCAAAAACTTTAAATTCATTAATCTTTGGAAAGTTAAAAACTATTATGATCTCCTAATTTTATTTGGAAAGTTAAAAACTTTTATAAACTCCTAATTCTAGTTGTAATTGTACTCCCTACTATTCCACTAATTTCACCTATATATATATATATATATATATATATATATATATATATAGATATAGATTATTTGGCATGGGATCAACCAATATCCCAAACAATTAACTTAGGTCATCATGAGTTCCTCTCAACCTTCATCATCTTCTTCCGCCGCCGTGAGAACCAGGGTTCGCCGGAGAAAGCCAGAGAAGGCGTGGGCGGAGGAGCCTGGACCTTTCTCTCCACTCGATCTTGCTGCGGCGGCTTCCGCCGCCGGCGTCCCACCAACATCCTTTCGGCACTATGTTCATCTAGGACCGCCGGTTTTTCCCGGCCATCCGTACAGTCCTCCGGCGTATAGCAGCGGCCTTTTTCCCAACGCCGTTTTCGAGTTCGGTTCGTCCAGCACAAACCCTAACCCTAGTAATGCTCCCGCCGCCTATTCCCGTAAACCGTCAACTAAATATTTTAACTTTTGAGTTTCTTTTTTTTTCTTTATTAATTTGTGGTACTCGTATTAATTAAACTAATTTAGATAAGGCACTTCAACGTTTAATTTTAAGAACCTCTTGTATTTTCCGTTTTAGAATTGGTTTATTTGCTTAGTTTGAATTTTCGGATCAAACTTCAATCATTCATTCTATAACAATATACTCTGTATATATTGAGTTATAATATGAATATTATATTGTCTTATGAATATAGGGGGACTTAGTTTCCACCGTAATAGAGACATTAGGTTATGAACACAGTATCTTGTAACCGAATAAATAGTACTAAAAAATAGTATCGTCATACTTATATTTAGAATGTAGATTTCGTAAGGAATACTTTGTACTCTGTATAATTCATACTTATCTGTCACACAAAACATTTTCTCATTTAAAAAGTCAGCATTTTGGAGCAATAGGGGTGCCATATACTCCCTCCGTCCCATGAAACATGGATCTTTTGCTTTTTAGGAGGGATTTAAGGGGAGTGTATTTTGGTATTGAATTTCCAAAAATGTCCTTTGATGTGATGGGTAAAAGTATGATTTGATGGATAAATTATTAATAAAAAGGTATGATGTGATAGTTAGGGTATGAAAAAGTAGGAGGTAAAAGTGACTTTTTAATAGAAATGAGAAGTGTTTTGTGGGACGGATAAAAAAAGAAAGGAGAAAAATTTCATGGGACGAAGGGAGTATATACTACTTCCCTTACTAAAATTGTTCAAACTATAATGACAAATGTAGGGACTCATTTGATACCAATTTCAGTCCTTTATTTTTTTGAAACTAACTACCCCCAACAAGAAAAATCCACTTTGGAAAAAAATCTCTCTCTCAACTTTTAAAGTGAGAATAGGATGTGATTAAATGGTTGATTGATACATTAAGTTTGTTTTCATTTTCCAATCTTTATTCACTTATATATTTATTGCGACTACCCATTTCTTAAGGAGTATAAAATAATCATGTCACGTTTTGTTTTGAAGAATTTTTTTTGTAGTTTTTAAATACGAAGTACATAAATTTAATTTTAAAATTTTACTCATACAATTAAATAAATTAAATTAAAAATAAAAGTTATCAAGTTTCTAAATTGGAATCAACAATTCAACTCGGGAGAGAGGGAGTAATGAATAGATATGAATAGTACGGAGTATATACTACTCCGTATGTAGGTTAATAATAATGGAAGAATTTTTGGGACAAAAAAGGAAAAGATTTTGGAGAGGGAGGATGTAGTTCAATGAATAGTATTCCGTTAGAGGGCATGTTTGAGAATAACATTAGAGATCTGCGTTTAGCATTATTTGCACCGTTAAAGCTTTATCCAAAATACTGACGCTAATCTTTAATGTTGTTCTCAAACAAATCCAGAATTTAACTCTTACTTTTTCAAACTTAATTCACCACATTATAAAATTATTTAAAACACTCTCTAATTAACTAATTGTAAATATAATTCTCAAACTAAGCAGCCAAAGCATGACCAAGAGGAAGAAAAGAAAAATCAATAGCCTGTAATCTGTATCACTTTTCAATCCTATACATATACACTGATTTTCATTCCGGAGAACGAAAAATAGTTAGAAGCTCCATTCCACATAAGTTGTAGCATTCTTTAAGTATACTATGTGATGGTAACTTTTAACGTTTTTAAAATTAATTTGTACGTCCAAGAAAAATTGTCCAAATCACAAATATTGTTCTCAAACGAAGCCAAAACCAATCACAGATTAAGCGGGACGTGATTGAAATCGTCAGACAAGCCTCTAGATGAACGGATGTCGTCGCCGCCGCCGCTCGTGTACGAAGAGTAGAAGTCGTCCTCGCCGCCGCCGCCATTATCCCTTTCTTTGACTTCCTCGATCCTCTCGACGGCTTCCCGCATGTCCCACCTCTCCTCCGCGTTCGCCTCGCAGCACTCGAGTCCGATCCTCAGCAACTTGACGATTTCGCCCTCGCAACCCTTGGCGGCCGCCCCCCTCATCATGTCCCCGTCTAGAGCGTCGAGGCTGCTCGGGACCGTTGACTTGACCCAGTCAACGACGTCGGCGTCCGTCGAGAACTTCCCGGTCAACGTCTCGAGGATGAGGGTCCCGAGGGCCCAGACGTCAGTTTTCCGGGAGAGGCGCCTCGCGTCCTGCCGGAAATCGGGGGAACGGAAGGCGATCATGTGCTCCTCGGCGTGGTCGTGGTTGAGGATGGGGAGGAGGCCGTAGTCGGCGATGAGGGGGTCGTAGGCGGCGTCGAGGAGGACGTTGGAAGACTTGAGGTGGCCGTTGGGGACGACCATGGTGGGGAGCTCGTTGTAGAGGTAGAGCATCCCCCTCGCCACTCCCTTTATGATTTTCAACCTTGTTGGCCAGTCCAGGCCGCCCTCTCGACTCTTGTTCTTTTTACCTGTTAAAGAAGTTAAACTAGCTCTCTTTAATCATCTAAAGAAACATTTGTGCAATTTGATTTTTTTGAATCAAATTGAAACATCTATTAGACAAAAAAATGTTATTTACGTCATTTAACAGTATACGAATGCTTTTAATGATCATTTGTTTTTAAACTGATGATGAATGTGTACTTCTTAAACACAAAAAGTGCCTAAAGATAGGAAAACTAAAACGGCCCGGTTCCGTGGCCACTGGGTTTCAGTGGCTACGGAAGTCACTCTCACGATTCATACACCTAAGATGCTCCGTTTTTAAAATTAATGACTCTATCCCTCCTAACTCCCCAGTTAAACCCGCTACCCAGTCCCGACTCCAACTCATCCCCTACCTACGTCAATTAAACCCCGCAATTTTAGTTGACTTGAGGTCAAAACTTTAGACTTTGAAGTTAACAATATCGGGGTGCATTTGACAAGGGCGGAGGATGAGTTGGGGTCGGAACTGGGTAGGGAAGTCAGGAGGGGAAGAAATCATTAATTTTACGAACGAAGAATCGTAGGAGTATAGTGGCTTCTGTCGCCACTGAAATCCAGTGTCCACTAAACCCGGTCGAAATTGAAACAAAAATGAAAGGGAGGAATAATAAATAATTAAGCATACCATGAAGATGAGAAGCCAAGCTTCCGTTCTCAACATAGTCAAAAACCATAAGCTTCTCCTCTTTCCTATAGTAAAAAGCCACAACGGGAAGCAAGTTCTTGTGCTTCAACTTCCCAAGCCTTCTCATGTGTTCCACGAAATCCTCCCTCACAACGTCGTTCATTTGCCTGAATCTCTTCACGACCACCACGGGGCCCGAGCTGAGGCCCGCCTTGTAAGTCGACCCGAAGGACCCGTTGCCCAAGACCTCTGCAGAGGCCTTGAGCAGGTCGGCCAAGTCAAACTTGCCCGTGTCTTCGTCCCTCAAGAACGAAACTTTGACGCCGGTCTTGGCTTGTGGATCCGATGGCGATGACTTCTTGCCTGGCCCGCCAGCCGAGCCGCGTTCCATTCGCTCCAAATCGGCCGTCGTTTGGGTGCCCACTTGCGCCCGGGTTGACCCGCCACTGTCCTCGTCGTTTTCGGGTTTTCTCCTTTGCATGGCTAAGATGATGGCGATGGCCACCGCTACGATCACCAGCACCACCATGCCCACGATGATTATCGTTTTGAACCGAGAGTTATTGGAGTCTGCAGGGTCATCGACCTTGCATGGCTCCAATGGCTTTCCACAAAGACCAACATTCCCTAATCAAAGAAAAAAACATGTACACATACATCTTTAATTGTATAGATCAATTTCTGAAAATTCTTTTAATTGGAACCCCAAAATTTGGACACCACCACTAATATACTCCCTCCGTTCCACAAAACCCTTCCGGTTTTGACTTTGGGCAAAAATAAGGAAAGTGTAATTTTGGTTGACTTTCCAATTTTGCCTCTGATGTGATGAGAAAAAGTAAGATGTGATAGTTTGATTATTAGTGAAAAAGTATGATCTGATAGGTAGGGTATGAAAAAGTATGGGTAAAAGTGGTTTTTTAATAGAAAGTGAAAGTGTTTTGTGGAGAGCAAAAAAAAACGAAAAAGGAAGAGTTTCGTGGAACGTAGAATAAATTAAAACGTTATCATTATTATACCTGAAAATGAGGAAGCTTTGAGACTAGAAAACCTAGCTGGGATTTCACCTTGAAGATTGT